ATGTAATGAAATTCAACCTTTTGATATGTGCAGATTGCTAAAATTTGCCAAAGGCACACAGAAATGTAACCACCACCATAATCAAGATACAGAACATTTCCATCATTCAAAAGTTCCCTTATGTCCCGTTACAAGTAAACCTACCCCACCCCCCAGACCCTGGCATCTACTGATCCATAATCTGTCCTTATACTTTGGCATTTTCTAGAATGTCATATGCATGGCATCAAATAGCATGTAGTCTTTTGTGTCTGACTTCTTTCACTTCATTTCCCCAGAAGAATGTTTTGGATATTCAACCATTTTGTTGTATGGATCAGTAGTTGATTTCTTTTTACTGCCGAGTAGATGTCCATTATATAGATACACTGCAATTTGTTTATCCGTTCACTAGTTGATGGCCATTTTATTTTCCAGTTTGGTACTATTCTGAATAAAGATTCTATGAATATTTACATACAAGTCTTTTTGAGTAATTTATGTTTTCATTTATCTTGGGCAGATCCCAGGAATGGAATTGCTGAGTCATTTTATAAGAAATTGCTAAACTATTTTCCAAACTGACTGTATTATTTTACATTCATACCAGTAGTAGTGTATGAGTTTCAATTGCTTCACATCTTATTAGAACTTGGTATTGTCAGTCTTATTTTAACCATTCTAGCGACGGTGTAGTGACATCCAATTGTGGCTTTAACTTGCATATCCTTGATAACTACTAATGTTGAGCATCATTTCATGTTCTTATTTCTTCTGGTGACAGGTCTGTTCAAATTTTTGCTCCCCCCTTTTTTTTACAGATTATTTTTCTCATTATTGAGTTGCTGGAGTTCTTTGTATGTTTCTGGATATAAGTCCTTTGTGAGAAATGTATCGCAAATATTATCTCCCAGTCTGTGGCTTTAAAAAAAATGTTTTCTGAAGAGTGTTCTTCAAAGAATAGAAATTTATAATTTTATTAAGTTTGATGGATCAGTTTTATCTTTTATTCAGTGTTCTTTTTGTCCCTTCTAATAAACCTTTGCCTAACCCAAGGACACTGAGCTTTTCTTTTGTGCTTTCTTTTAAAGGTTTCACAATTATTTTTTTAAGGTTTCACAATTTTTAAGTCCCACATTTAGGACCATGATCTATTTAGAGATAATTTTTGTGTATACTGTGCAGTATAATTGAAATTATTTTTTTAAATATGGATATCCAATTTTTCTCAGCATAAATGAAAAACTATCCTTCCCTCCAATGGGTTTTCTTGGAAAGTTTGTTAGAAACTAATTGACCACGTGTATGTGTGTCTTTTTCTACATGCCTTATTTTTCTATTGATCTGTATGTCAGTCCTATGTTAATACCTTACTACCTGATTAGAGTAGCTTTATAATAAGTTTAAAATCAAGTAGTGTGAGTCTTCTAACATCCCCCCCCTTTTTTTTCCAGACTTGTTTTGGCTATATCAGATTTTTTCATTTTCATATAAATTTTAGAATTAGCTTATACGCAACTAATGAATGGTTGAACACTGTAACAAAAACTTAGGATAAACTATATGCTGGCTAACTGAACATAATAAAAAGTACTAAAAAATCCTATTATTTTGATTTGGGTAGCATTGACAATTAGGGAAAAATTTACATTTAGCTATCTTGGCTCTCCCAAATCATAAACACTGTCTATCTCTCCACTAAGACTGCTTCAGGTCCTCTTTAAATTCATTCAGCAATATCTTATTAGAGTCTTTGGTGTACAGATACTATATGCATTTTGTGAAAGTTATTCTGAAGCATTTCATGGTTGTTGATATCATCATATTAGCATTTTTAATTTAAATTTCCAATAGCTTACTGTTAGTCCATAAAAATATAATTGATTTTTATATACTGACTTTATGTACTGTGATCTTCCTAAACTCACTTACTAGTTCTAGTAGCATTTTAGCAGATCCCACAGAATTTGCTTCACTGAAGATCAGGTTCTCTGCAAGTAAACACAATTTTACTTTTTAACTTACAGTCTTATTTTTTTCTTGCCTTATTGAATGGGTTCGAGCCTCCAATACAATATGAATAGTACAGTACAAGGTAAGAGTGGACATCCTTGTGTATTCTTCCTGCTCTTAGGGGAGTGTGTGTATTCACTCTTTAACCACTAAGCATGATGTTAGCTATAGGTTTCTAAGAAAGTTGTTCATCAGATAGAGAAAGTTCCTTCTAGTCCTTATTTGTTGATCATTTTGATTATGAATGGATGCTCAATTTTGTTAAATGTTCCTTTCAGGGACCCCACCCCCATTTACCCTCAATGGTTAATCTGTTCTTGCATATATTAGGTGCCCCATAAATACTTGTTGAATGAATGCAACTGGGCTAAATATCTTTGAGAGTGCAAGGCCATATTTCAGCCACTCAGAAGGATGAGATGGGCTTAGGGGAACTGAAGATATTTGAATGTCTATTCATATCAGGGATACTAGATTTGCTTAAATGATCTCATGCAAATTTTACAGCATTCCTATGAATTTAAGTATCTCCATTTTACAAACGAAGAATGAGTAATAGATAGAATGATTAAAAAGCTGTAATAAAGCTGTAATATGGTTGGCATGTGGGGAAAAGTTTCTTTGCATTTCAATAAAAGAAAAAAGACAATCATATGTTCATAAAACAAAGAGTATTGCAAAGGAGGTGGTTTTCAAATATTTCAGTTATTGGATGGTGTGAAAGGATCAAGAGTACAGTCAGTCTGGATATAAAGAATGTCACCTGTGGAATGACACTTGAACCATTAAGAAGCAAAAGCTATCCTTGCATAGTACTTGGCTCAGCCATGAACAAAGGTCTCATAGTCAAAATAATGTAAATTTAAGTTATTGGCTTGCAACCCTGAGAATTTGATCTATAGGCAAAACAAAGAAGATTTAATTTTGCTTACATATCAAAATGCAAATGTTTAACAAGTTCGGCAAAGAAAAAGTCAAGAAAGATATAAAGTAAATTAGAAGGTAGGAGAAAAATGAGGAAACTCTAGGCATGTTAACACTGTTATCTTACAAAAAAGGAACATTTAAACCCCTCTGAGCTTCAGTTCTTCAGCTGCAAAATGAGATATAAAATCTTATCTAATGGGATCATAGTGAGGATTAATGAATGTACGTAAAATGCCTAGTATGTATGTAAAATGCCTAATGTATGATAGGTACTCACTAAAAGGAGAAAAGGGTGGCAGGTCTATCGATAGAAGGAAGTAAATCCAGCCCCATTCATGAGGGAGAACCTCAACTCTAAGGTCCTTGTCCCTTCTCCTGCTGATGCTGTCACTGCCAGAGAGCAGGGTAGTGAGTCTGAGTAATGAAAGGTCAAGGGCTGTGTGTCCAGCCAAGGGCATATGAATGACATGACTACTCTGAAAATGGTATCATTTTTCCAATGTTACAGTTGAGGGAGTTGACACTCTGAGTGGCCCAATAACTCACATTGAGCCAGCCCTGAAGTGGCCAAGCCGGTCCTGAAACCCAGAAACCGTGACTCTAGATTTGGTTGCCTGCCGTCCAGTCGAGCGCTGCAGTGAATCTGAAACACTGGATAAGCTTGTGGCATATCCTCTATACACATTTCTAATGAATAGGCCCTTAGGTTTAATTAAAGGGGAAAAAAAGATTAATTGTTTCTCCCAACAGCTGCAAATTATTTACATTGCATTTGTGTTGATGGCTAATAAAAGAGCAAAGGCGTGTGGGGACAGCCCAGGGTGGCTGTAATTCTTCCAGGGTCCATAATGAAGCACCGGTTTGAATGCCAGCATGTGAGCATGGAGGAGCCTGCTGTCCCATTCAGGCTTGTAGTGGGCAGAGCCACTCTCTGCCCTGGGCACGATCCAATCTGCAGAAATGTATTTCAGCAGCCAAGACCTGAGAAGAACAAGGCATATGCGTCCGCCTCACTAAACTGGCTCTTGATTAGTTCATGATTGCTGTGGAATGGGTGAGAAGAAGCAAAATGGTGGCCAGCTTGAGGCTACCCCCTATCCTAGAACAACTCTTAACTGATCTTTTGAAGCATGATTGTGGAGGAAAGGGACAGGAGCCATGGCAGCAGAGCTATTCTCAATTTTATAAGTTCTTGCTTTGCAGTGGCTACTGAAAATTATATACTATAATATGCATATGTATTATATAATGTGTGTTATAGATTATAATGTACATGACTAGTATATGAATGTGTGTGTGTGCGTGTGCGTGCGCGCACACATGTGTGTGCTTTTACGGCTATTACTCTGTATGAGAGAGTTTTGGTCTTCCCAATTATTAGGTTTTAACCCTGGGGCCATCTTGGGAAAGTCACGTCTTGTGAAAGTGGTTTCTTCATCATTTTCATAACGATCACACCTACCTCTTAAGTTGCTGTGGGGAGCATTATGTACGTGACAACATCTTTCAAACTGTGAAGCAGGGGTGAGAATTGGCATCAGGACATCTTTGATTACTCTAGGACTTTTTCTAACATATTATTTCATTTTTAAAGCACCTACTCTGCACTCAGATTTGCGTAAGTGTATGTGGGGGGAAAAAAGGACAAACCAAAGAGACCACAGTAGAGTAATATTAGGTTATAATATTAACCTAATATAATAACCTTATAATATCAGGTTAATATTTAAGGAGATTATTTTTGATGTGTGTGTAGAGGATGAATTGGAGTGGGATAGGACTTCTTACTGGAAGACCAGTCAGGAGGCCACTGCAGTCTTCCAGAGAGGGGACACCTGGGCCTGAACAAATTTGGAATTGACAGACATGGGATATTCACATAGGACTATTGCACCAGCCCTAGCACAAGTTTTATTTAAATTCTCTATCCCTTAGGAGCCTGTTGACCATAAATATCCCGTATTTGTTTGCTAGGACTGCCTTAACAAAATACTACTAACTGTGTGGCTTAGAACAACGGAAATTTATTGTCTCACAATTCTAGAGGCCAGAAGTCTAAAATCCAAGTTGTTGACAGGACCATGCTTGATCTGAAGGTAAAGGGGAAAGATCTGTTCCAGGTATCTCTCCTGGCTTTTGGTAGTTCCTTGGCTGGTAGCAACACATGGCATTCACATGTGTACACGTCTGTCTCTGTGTCCAAATTTCCCTTTATTATAAGGACACCAGTCATTTTGGATTAAGGCCTGCCCAAATGACCTCATTTTTACTTGACTACCCCTATAAAGACCCTCTCTCCAAATAAGATCACATTCCAAGGTACTGGAGGTTAGTACTCCAACCTGTCTTTTTTTCAGGGTCACAGTTCAACCAGTAACATTTATCTGATATTCATCTTAAGTTTGTTAATTTTCCATTAGACAAGATATGATTTACCTGGTCAAATTACTGAAAAATAACTTAAATTGCTAGGTAATTTAGACTGTTAGGATAGACACAGTTTTTATGTGATCAGAAAATATTCAAATGCCTGCTGTATCTTTGCACATATGTTGGTACTTATACAGATAGGTGTATATATGAAATACAGTAACAGTTTGTGATTATGGATCTGATTAGGTTGAGGTCAGAAATTCAAGCACACAGCCATGATTTGCTAGTTTGTTGACTGATAATGGACTTTAACCCTGAAATATCTATTAATAGACAGTAGTATTGAAGAATTGAAGCTTTTAGTCAGTTTTTAACAGTAGCTATCTATACTGGGCATCCAGAAATAGAAATAATGGGATTTTGGTAAGGTGAAAGATCCATGGTCTAGAGCCCAAAAATGTATTTGAGTCTCGGTGCTGCCCTGACTTTCTTTGTGTTCACATGAATTGTTGAGCTTCTCTCTGAATCTCACTTTTCTAAAGTTTACTGAGGTATAAAATGGAACTAACTAATGCTCTATGTCTCTCATGTGGTTGTTAGATGAGAGCCTATGAGTGAACAAATGTGCAATATTCATATTATTGTGGATTAGCTATTCAAGTGATGATCTTGAAAGTCAATCTTTGTTTTGTTTTTCCATTGTGTTCTAGTTAACAAGCACAAACCATGGATTGAGACTTCATATCACGGAGTCATAACTGAGAACAATGACACAGTCATTTTGGACCCACCACTTGTCGCCCTGGATAAAGACGCACCAGTTCCTTTTGCAGGTGAGATGGTAGCTTACTGTGGTTGGGCTTGGCTCACTCGGGAGGCATGGTGGGAAGCCTCCACAGAGTGCAGGCTCGGGCTGTATTGCTGTTATCTTCCCCTGCGTGTCTCATAGATCAGCCTGTGATTTCAAAGCTGTATATCTCTTCTGACTGCTGGTATGGTTCTGATATCTGGTGTGGCTCTGATTTCTGATTTATGGGGTTTTTTCCGGGGTATTGCCTCCAGGGCAAGACCTTTATTTCTTCTTCTAAGAGATGGTATATTGCTGCAATGGCCTCTGGATTTGGAAAAGCTGGGCTAGTAAGGTCCATAGGGGAATAATTTTCCCTCTAGAAAGATAACCTATAGACAGATTAAGTATGTGACCCACTGTCCCCACTACACATATATCAAGAACAGGTGAAGATTTATAGCTTGGTAGATTGACAAAAGAAAAGGAAAAAAAAAAAAAAAGGACCAGGAAATATTTGCTAAGAGTAGGGACAGGGCTGTACCCTCAAGCTTCACAGTGGGTGTGGCTTTGGTGGAAGAATCAGAACACAGTGCCATTTTGCCCTCTGTGGCTTGTGGCTAGAGAGTCTTCTCATTATCATCAAAATTATGACTACTTCCTTCTTTAACTTCCTGCAAGGGCTAGGTCTCAGGAAGGATGTGTGAAGAATATAGCTATGTCTCATGTTTCCACAGATTTTGGCAAAGAAAAGGGAATAGCTGATGGTAGGGGGAGGAGGGAATGGACAAAGAATTTCTGAAGATGCCTGCATCATGAGTAATATTGTTAACATTTTATAACTGTCAGGAGAAAGACAGGAAATTTAATGAAAGTTTTCAAGATTTCTAGAAGATTGCTTTATGATAGATGGGTGCCAGGCTGAGGTTTTCACCATGATGAAGTCTATTTTTTCTGACAGTTTGTCTGCTACATTATGAGCTACTTGGGCAGAAAAAAATTGGCTCTTTCACACTTCTAAGAGATAAGCTCTATGAAGGCCCTTTTTTCATTACAGAACATTGTAAAGTAAGGAATGAGGGGGTGGGTTAAATGGGGAAATTCAGCGTTATGTGAAGATAAACTCATAAGCATTCTTGCAGAGCATGGGGAAGATATCTTGACTCTCAGAAGAAGGCTTTACCTTTATTTTATGTAGAATGATAGCCACCAAGGGCACCTAACTGTGACTTCCTTGGTGTTTAGAATTAGGATATTTCCATAATCTTCCAGCCATCCTCAGAGGTCCCAGCTCAACAAAATTCCACTTGGAAGTGTGAATTCCATGCTGTCTTTTCCACAAAAGATGAGTTATCTTCCCTAGACCTTCTTTGCCAGACTGAGAATATTTCAATGCATTCCCATCTTGGACATATCTAGATGATACTAGGGTTAATCACCCCCTAGAAATGAGGTTTTAAAACAAACACTGGCAAAACTCTTTGGATCTTGGAACTGTTTGGTTTGGCATGCATAATGTGCTTAACAAAATAAGAGACAGTATTTAAAAAGTGGGAGATTTAGGATAAAAAGACAGGATTCTGGATTATCTTGATGAACCAGATTGGAAATACAAGGCTGAGTCATGGTTTCCCTCTTTAGACTGAACGTGTGCTTCTGGCTTCCCTCAGCCCTTCTCTACAACCGGTGTGCAGAGGTCCTTCCACCAAGCAGGTCCTCTTGTTCACCTTTATTTTCAAGTGTGTAACTCCTCTTTAAAACATAACAGGGAAAAAAAAAAAACAATGACACATTAAACAGGAAGTAAATGTATGCCATTAATTCACTTTAGTGTAGTGAACCTAAGACTTTAAAGATGAAGGATATGTCTGATTCTTTATTATGTCTACCCTCAGCATAGCCCTGTTCTCCTCCAATAGTGAACTAGGAAACTGAAGCTGTTGAACAAGTTGTCCCACAGTTGATTTATAAGTTCCTTAATGTACAGACCCAAATTGGGTGGAGGCAGTTTGAGCAAAACTGATATTTGTAAGTTTGGACTTACAGAAGTTACTTATTTTCCTTGGTTATTGGACAGCAGAACAATTAATTATTTCACCTGAAGATTCAACAAAGGGTTTCACAATCATAAATCCATCAAATTTCTTTAAACTTGTATTTGTATTCTGACCATTAGATGTGCCCACTGGTTTTCAGACACATCTGGAAATTAAGATTTGCTTCTAAGCCAAGCCCTGAGTAGTTATTTCCATCTGGAGAAAATTTTTATGCTCCTCTTGATATTTGCAACTGCATAAAAAGAAATCTAACTTAATGCATCAAAATATAATCTTCCAGGCTCTTAAGAGTAAAAAATAAAGGTGCTTTTTGGAATGGTCAAAGCTATTTTTCTCAGTGTTATTTATGACCAGCTCTAAGACAGGACACAGGCACTAGCCATCCATCCATGCTGCAGACATTTATTTTAAAACATTTATCTTAAAAAGAAAATACTGAAGATTTATTTCAGATCCCTATCATTCTCATAAAATTGAAAAATTCATATCTGCCAGTTCCATCAGTTCTGGAAGTCAACTGCAGCTTTTAGTCACCCCCGCCCCGCCCCAGTTATCAACTGTTCTTGTATTGTGTGTCAGTTTTTCCACCCCTTTTCCACTAGTCTTTATTTCTAATTTGGCCTGTGAGGCAAGCTGTAAGCTTTCTGGGAGATGGTCTCGTCCAAGTCACTTTTTCTCTGTCTCATTTCTTTTGTGATTTCCCTCCCTTTAAAAAAATTTTTTAAGAAAAATTTCCTATGTAAAATAGCACTTAAAAAGTCATGATCACATTTTGCCTATAAATGCAAAATCCGGGGATATAGAATAGCTTTTACTATATATTTTCCTGATTATGACAATAAGCGTTTTATTGTAGAAAATGTGAAAAATATATTGAAACAAAGAAGTATGAAAAATATGTTTTCTTACTGCCAGAGAGAGCCTCTGTTAACTTTAGTGTATTTCCTTCCAGTCATTTTTCTACTTTTTTTTCTACAATTGTGATCACACCTCATATTCAATTCTAATAATTTATTTTCCCCACTAAACTAATGAAAATATACCATTTTTGGGAAAATATATCATTTTGTTAAATATTAATCTGCAACTGATTAAACGGTTACATGATGTCTTCCTCAGTGAATATTCTGTAGTTTACCATTCTTTCTTTTTCTAGCTCTATTGAGATACAATTGACATATAATATTGTAGAAGTTTAAGATGTACAATGTACTGATTTGATAAACTTCTATATTGCAAGTGATTACCACTGTAGTATTAGCTTAACCTCCATTATCTCAAATAATCACTATTTCTTTTTTTCTCACATATTAAGAATACAATCTTTAATTCTCAGGATTTAATATAATGGTAAATTCATGCAATGAAGATGGACAGTTCTGAATACTATGACTTTGATTCATGGATCTAAAAAATATAACTCTTGAATAATGAAATAAATTGTATGCATGAATTAACTCCAAAATTGTGCAGTGCTGGTATTACCATTTCCTTTCCTCCATGACTAGCTCTCCAGGTATGAAATAATAATGCAGTTTTCTTTTTTTGTGGTGAGAACATTTGAGATCTACTCTCTTAGCAATTTTCAAGTATATAATACAATGTTGTTACGTATAATCACCATGCCATACATTAGAGGCCCAAAACTTCGTCATATTATCACTGAAAGTTTCTACCCTTTGACAACACCTCCCAATTTTCCCCACCTCTAGTCCCTGGTAACAACCATTCTACTCCCTGTTTCTGTGAGTTGGCTTTTTAAAGTCAATTTCACATATAAGTGAATCTACATATAAGTGGTATTTTATATGTGGTATAAGTGATTCCACATATAGATTCCGTATGTAAGTAAGATCATGCAGTATTTGTTTTCCTATGTCTGGTTAATTTCATGGACCATAATGCCCTCAAGTCCCATCCATGTTGTCACAAACAGCAAGATTTTCTTTCTCATGGCTAAATAACATTCTATTGTATATATATACCACATCTTCTTTATCCATTTTTCCATTGACACAACTGAGGTTGTTTCCACATCTTGGCAATTGTGAATTATGCTGCAGTGAACATAGACATGCAGCTATCTCTTCAAAATCCTGAATTTACTTCCTTTGGATATAATTCTGGAAGTAGGATTGCTGGATCATGTGGTATTTATAGCTGTAATTTTTTTGAGGAACCTCTATACTGTTTTCCATAGTGGCTATACCAGTTTGCAATCCCACCATCAGTGCACAAGGGTTCCCTTTCTCTATGTCTTTGCCAACACTTACTTCATGTCTTTTTGATGATAGACATTCTGACAGGTATGAGGTGATAGGCAATTTGTCTGTTACAGTTCCTTTTTACTATCATGTGCTTACATTTCTGATTCTATCATTTGGGTGGATTTCCAGAATTGAAATTAATTGGTCAAACACTTTAAGGTTCTAGAAACAGGGCACGTGGGTGGCTCAATCGGTTAAATGTCTGACTCTTCATCTCAGCTCAGGTCTTAATCTCAGGGTCAAGAGTTTAAGTCCTGAGTTTGACTCCACAAATAAATAAATAAATAAGAAAGTTCCAGAAACGTGTTAAATTGCTTTCCAGAACAGTTGTGTAAGTTTGTTGTCCCATTCTCACCACAGTGGTCTCATTCCCTAGCCCCCATATGGCTTATTCTAATGGTGTGGTTTAGTGACCATGGGGTGTAGTCACCAATAACAGTAGCCTCGCCATCTGCATCTGTAAAATAATGCAAGGTTTCCAGTGTTGTTGTTTTGATTAAATTTAAAGAATATCTATGATGCATGTTATAATGATTCAAGATATAATAGAAGCTTAATAAATTCATGTTTTTTTTTCCCATATTCTTTTCTCTGCCCATTTTGTAGAGGAGATAACCAACTCAGAGAGAGGCCAAGCAGCTTGCTCAGTATCCCAAACAGTCCAGCCATGCGTTGGGACTGCAGACCAGGGATTTTCACCACTTGCTTTGAGTTCAGTCCAG